CACCCAGATCGTTTGGCTCTTCCGGCACCTCTAATCCACCAACTCAACAATTAGGGATCTTGAAGGCTGATTGATCTGCTGCTTTGACTTCAAATCAACCTTTCACCTCATCTTCTCACATGCTCAAACTCAAACCCACACCTACATCATCATCTAACACATCTGGATCTTATAAGCCACCAGTAAATCTGTTAACTTCACTCAAGCAAATTACCAAAAATTCAGCACTCAAGTCTCAAGCTCTAATTGAGAAAGGAAATAGAAAAGATGCTCGAGCTGATGCGCTTGTTGAAGCAGCGCAAATCAAGAGAGAGGCTCTTTACCCTTCACCTCCTCAAAGATATCAACCTCCAGCTATGGCTTGCTAAGCTAGTAAACAGAATCTTCCAGAAGACTCAGATCATATGGCTGCAGCTAAAATCTTAAGAAACAAAGAGAATGCTAAATTCTTTATGGAATTAGAAGAGGATCTTTGTTTTAAGTGGTTGAAAGAACAGGTTGATGAACTCAAAGAAGAAGGAATAAACTGTAATCTTATCAAGTGGTATCCAACTTTTCTCAACTCTTCATAATTCAACTCAATAAACTCAGCATTGTTCACTTTCAACTACTCCTTCACCTCTTCTCAATAAAGATTTAGCAGATCATCAGGTATATCTTTGTTTAGGTTTCTTTTCAACTCTTTCTCACAACCAGGTCCATTGATCCTCAAGATGAATCAATCAAAGCAAGTGTCTTCAAAACTAATAAATCTTTGAGAGCTATTGTTCTACAAATCTAATGTTTTTCAAAAGTTGTTATTGTCTTGTAATAGTATCATTTTACAAAAGTATTGTTTCAAACGGCAATGTTTTTATGTTCTAAAAGTTGAGTTTTCCAAAGTTATGATTTTTTGATTCTATTGTACACCATCAAAAGTATATATCATACATGATCTTTCTCTTTGCAAATACAAGATATGGGTTTTAGTGGATAAACTGTTTGTGTTTCCCTAAACACAATGAGGATGTAATAGGTAATTGTTCTACATTTCCATAGCTAAAGTATGGTGGTCTTCACCAGCATTGGCCTTCTCTGCAGCTGTTGCACTGCGTCCACGAGAGACGTTCTCGACGTCGAGATCGTTAGATGGGCAGTGTTTGTCTCAAGTTTGGCCCAAGTTTGGCTAGACTTTGGCCCCAAATGCTCACGTGAACTGCTCAGGAGAGCCTCTAAGCCTCAATCAAAAAGCACATCCTGGTTGAGCCTGGTTAAGCGGGTGTTGCTGACCCTCAGAGCAGCTCAGTTTAATCTTCCAAATGTTCAATCTTATTTCCTCAACCTCCCCCCTCACTCGATATCGTCTCTTTTGCCATAGACTATACAGAATTTTGCCTGAATCTGGAGACTCTACATACTCACCACCAAACATCCCTCATCTCAATCTACCTCTCCACTTCCTACCGATTCATCTTCATCTTCAGATCATCTATCTTCCTCCAACCTTTCAAGTTCAATCGATCATTTACATCATCATGATTTACGTCATCATGCTCCTTTATTCGAAAAAACCACTCCACCACTTGAAAGAACTCTTGCTCAGGCTGGAATTCTAACGGATGCAATCCAGACAGTTGAATTGGTCGGAGGATCGACTCGAGTACCTGCTTCAAAATCTTGAATTCAAAACGACTCAACATATCCAGCCTTATCAAAATTTGTAATATAGTATTCTACTTAATGTGCTTTATTATATACTCGTTATGCTTATTTTAATGTACAAATATGATTGTTGATTGATTTTTCAAAAGTAAATGTTCATGAATTCTTATGGAACTAATTGATTTATTTTTCGGTCTGATCGAACGTATACCATGATTGTTTGAATGTTTCCTTTGAACTTGATAAACTGTGATATATTGAGTGCTAGGTTAGTGAGACCAAGGATTATGAAATATCAGAAATAGTGGAACAAAATTGTTTACCATTCGTTTAACAAGGGATTTGGCTCCCTCCTTGTCTTTTCTAAGGTTGTCTTCTATCTTTCAAACTTATAAAACTTTGGTTTCAGTTTGATTGGTTTCTTTTCTTTATCAGTCTTCTTTTAAATGCCTTGCAAAGATCACAAAGTTCAAGTATGCCCTCTATAGATCACCAAAATGACCACCTGTACACTTAAGTATGTACCCTATACCATAGGGTCATACGTACATCTGTATGGCCCAATGGCATTCGAGTTCAACTGCCAAGATGAACCTTCATCTCAAGAAGCTTCTTGGAGGCATCCAATTTTGGCTAAGTCCCCTTTTTGCTTAAGGAAACAAAGACCAGCCTCGAATCCCCACAAGATACAGCCCACCATGTTAGTAAAAGTCCACCACCCTTCGACTTTTCCCCACCACCACATCCAATCCCTTACATTGTTTTACACTAGCATACCCCCCTGTCTTGAAATCCACCAGGCTA